GATGCCTCCCAGATGACACTTGCCATTCGTCTGTCATTTATTTCAACCCAACAAAGACTGCCTACCGCCAGCTGGTGGGGAGAGGAAGCTGTGGTCCAGTGGCAGCTCAAAGTAGCCTCCCGACTGCCAGGGGTTGACTCCGAGTACTGGGGCTCACCCCTGGTTGCAGCCAATCATGGGCAAGCCAGGAGGCACCATTTGTGAGTGGACCAGAGGGGAAACTTCTTCCCTCTCGTCCACTCTCTGGATATAGCCGCCCTGAGCCCAGTCTTGGCTGGGGAGGGCGGGGTATAAAATTATTATTATTATTATTATTATTATTAGAGCCAGCCACATCAAGGCCTCAACCTCAGTTGTCACCAGATTCCCCCACCCACCCACCCCTACTCTTTATGCTGGTGGGCTGCTCGAGGGTAAGCCCTGTGGAGAACTATGCTGCTTTGGTTGCCATATTTAGGGCCAGAGAGGCATTGGCCTTCAGACTGACTGGGCCGGTCGGAGGGTTTTGCCTACCTCATAGCAACTTAATGGCAGTAAGGCACCGAGTTGAATTCTCAGTCTAATCGGATCCTCTCTGAGGGATCAGGTTAGCTCCTTAAATGGATCCGGGGGGCCGGGTGCTTCTGTCCAGACAGGGGCTGATGGGCCATAATACTTGCAAAAATTGTGATCGTGGGGGGCAGGGGTGTCCCAATTATTATGTCTGTCATAGGGTGATCCTTAACTTTGGTTAACCCTGCCAAATAACAACAACAATAATAATTTATTGAGTTGGTTGAGTCACAATACACACTCAATGCCTGCGCCAAAACCTCCTGACATCTGTAATCAATAAAGTTGTATCCTGTTTAAATCCCAGTTGGCTGCACTGCATTTATTGCAACTATTACAGTGGTACCTCGGATTACAAATGCTTTAGGTTACAAACGCTTCATGTTACAGACTCCACTAACCCAGAAATAGTACCTCAGGTTAAAAACTTTGCTTCAGGATGAGAACAGAAATTGCAGCACAGCAGCAGCGGGAGGCCCCATTAGCTAAAGTGGTACCTCAGGTTAAGAACAGTTTCAGGTTAAGAATGGACCTCCAGAACAAATTAAGTTCTTAACCAGAGGTACCACTGTACTGCAGTTCCAACAAAAGCCTGCAAAACAGCTTACAGTGAAATAATTAACGTATAATAAACATAACTGTGGATAGATAAGTTCAGGGGCTGTTCTTTTTCCCCCTTTCTCCTGGCCCTTTCATGTTGCCCTTTCCCTGCAAAAGATGCCCAGCGAAATGCCACCTGCTTTGCATCCCAGCCTCTGCCTCAGCCACCCCTCCATCCTCATTTGAAGCTAGAACACATTTAATGTAGCAATATTTAACAAATTGCCCAGACACCCACCCTTCTGCTATTTCCCCCCTGGCACCTGAAAGAAAAGGAGCTGATGCTGTACTTGATTTTGCTGCGCATGTATATGCATTTAGCGCAATTAAATTTCACCTCAGCAAATCTCCATTTGTTGTATGTACTCATCAGGAAGATGGATGTTTCGGTTATGAGGCCAAATTGATTCGATCGCTTTGTATTTAAGTGCAGCAAATGAAAAGTGTTTTTTAAAGCCTATTTACGTTTCCATCGTCCCTATCGCTCTTAATGAGGCACAATAACAAAGGGTATCGTGGCACCTTGCAGAATAACGCATTTACCTCCCATGAGCTTTTGTATGTAAAAACCTACTTTGTCAGACGCATGAAGCAGACAGAGAATGTTAGACACACACACACACACACACACACACACAAACAAAAAAACCCAAGCTGCAACAAAGTATTGCAGTGTATCTGAAGGGGGAAGGAATGGGTTTCTGTGCAGTCAGTTTGAAACTGACCCAAAATCCCATTTTTCCTCCTCCAAGGGAGCATTTCTAAAATGCTCTAACTTGAGCTCTTGAGCCAAAACCCAGCTGTATAAACAAGTGCTCAAAGCCCTCTCCCTTATCAGTCCGTGACGGCAATGAGTGGCCTTGTCAGTTCCAGTAGAGCAGGGATGATGCGTCTGGGTCTTATCTTACATCCTGACCACAAAGACCACAAAGACACACAGACCTTGTCAAGTCTGACAAGAGACCTGGGAACGGCGCCAGGAGTTGGTGACCTCCTGCCCCAAGATAAGAGTATAGGAACAGGAACAACCTTTTATGGTCAAGAGTACAGGAAGAGGAAAACCCTTTTATGGTTAAGAGTACCGGAGCAGGAACATATGTGATGTCAACCTGCGTGTATAGGCTGACGTGGTTGGATTCCTGGGGAAGGGGGGAGAGGGTGCCTGGAGGATATATATACTACATGAAATTTCTCATTTCTTTGGACTTGCTGTGAACTCACCATGCAAGTGCCTTCTGCTATCCAGAGAGCAGAATAAACTCTTTCTCTGAATCAACCTCGGTGTCATTTGACTTCCTTTCTCCCTCCCGGGAGCAACGCAGACCCCACCAGTCGGTAAAGTCTAATAAGGCTACATATCCACCTTCCTAAAAGGACTTTTCCTGTTCAGTTTTCATGCTATCCGTTCTGTTGAGGCAGAGGATGGCAAATGTGGCAAGATGATCCACATTATATTCTGGGAATTATTCACGTTCTTACGTAGCTGCATTGTTTAATACTTTCCGGGCATATTATAAAGTAGTTGTGTTCTGTGTTATGAATCAAGCACTGCTACGAGTTGCTTCTTTTGGTTTTCCAAAGTATTTATTATCGATAATAATAAAAAATGGTGCGATGCGAGCAAATGTTTATTCTGAAAGTGTGGCCCAGAGGAAAAAGAAGTTTGAGAAACACTGCCTTTAAAAAATCACTCCTATCCCCACACCCCAGACATGTACCTTCCGTTTTTCTTTCCCAAATTCCACTCTGTATTCCAATGCTACTAAGCATGCTCAGTCCTTAGTGGAATATGTTGGGAGGGTGGAATTGACCCAGTAACTGTTCTTAAAACTTTTTTTCCCACTTCTGCAAACCATGGTATTCCCCTGAGCATAATAAATAGGGTGAATTTAAAAGATAACTTTAGAATATTTGTTTTGCAATTGAAAACGACGGCTAACCTTAATTATGATAAACTTTTTCATTACTTTAATTCTAGAAAAAACAAAAGCTGCATCAGTCCTAAAGTATGATTTTTTTAAGCTGTTGTGCATATTTTCCTCTCTTAAAAGTTGTTTTGTAAACGTACCACTCAGAAAGCTTATTTGCATGTTTATCTATAATTTTTTTATAAATCCCCACCACCACCAAAAAAAGGGAAGTCTGTTATGCAGTAAATATTTTACGAAGTTAAGAACTCAATCTCATTGACTTCAGCAAGAGAGTTATGCGTATTGTACTCAGCACCAATTTTCCCATAAGACTTGAGTTGGGTTGCATGGTAATGTGTTCTTATTCTGTTTCTAAACCTGTTTTTTGTATTAGTGTTGTGGTAATATAGGATTAAAACTGATGGTTATTATTATTATTTTAGAAAACAGGCTCTGCACTTTGTTACCTTTTTTTTTTTTACTTCTTACTTATATTGCAAACCATTTTGTTTGCATCTTTTGGTACCCCCTCGATCACTGTATCCTTAACATCTTTTCCCCCTTATGAAACAAAAACATGTGCCATTTATTTAATCCCTGGTGTTCATATTAAATTTTCTGTGAACTTGTCCTTTGCATAGCCCATTATGTAAGTTAACATACTCTTCTGCATAGGAGCCAACTCTTAGGAGTCGAGGGCCATTTGGCCCCCCAATAAAATATTTGAGGGGGCCAGCCCCCCTCCCCTTGTGATTGATTATGCAGGGCGGGGCTTACCTGGGCCCCTCCAATATTTTATTCAAGTTGGCACCCCGATGCGCAGCCATCAATTTGTTTTTGTTTTTCCATAAATGATTTTTATTGGTTTTACATATAATCACATTACGTAACATTGTACCCTCTTGTTTTATCTCTTTGGCTCGACCGAGCCTAACGGCTTCCCTCCCTCCCGTCTGATGCTTTGCAAAATTAAACTTGACAGCTTTACATTTCGTTTCGTTTCCTATCCTTGTTAAAACATTACCTGGAATATTATATTACTCAACCTGAATAGGTAGCAATTTCACCTTACAGATCTTCAGATAACCCTGCTAATGATGTTAATTGCTTACAGTTGTCTTTCAAATATAATATAAATTTATTCCAGTCCTTTTATTTATAAATTTATTCCAGTCCTTTTGAATGCTTGGTCTCACTGGTTCCAGATTCTTCCCGTCAGTTTTGCCAGTTCTGCAAAGTCCATCATTTTCATCTGCTACTCTTCTTTTGTTGGTAACTCCTGTCGTTTCCATCTTTGGGCTAACAAAATTCTTGCGGCAGTTGTTGCATATAAGAACAATTTTTTATCTTGTCTCGGTATCTCTCTACTCACTATACAGTGGTGCCCCGCAAGACGAATGCCTCGCAAGACAAAAAAACTCGCTAGACGAAAGGGTTTTCCGTTTTTTGAGTCGTTCCGCAAGACGAATTTCCCTATGGGCTTGCTTTGCAAGATGAAACGTCTTGCGAGTTCTTGCGAGTTTGTTTCCTTTTTCTTAAAGCCGCTAAGCCGTTAATAGCCGCTAAGCCGTTAATAGCCGCTAAGCCGTTAATAGCCGCTAAGCCGCTAATAGCCGCTAAGCCGCTAAGCCGCTAATAGCCGTGCTTCGCAAGACGAAAAAACCGCTAGACGAAAGACTCGTGGAACGGATTAATTTCGTCTTGCGAGGCACCACTGTACCTGATAAAAAAAGCTTCTGGGGTTTTTTTAACAAAGGTGTTTTTAAACATTTCCTTTAACTCATCATATATCATTTCCCAGAAAGCTTTTACCTGTCCACCACATATGGTAAAAAGTACCTTCCTTTTCCTTACATTTCCAACATTCTTTTTTCCCCCTATACATTTTGGCCAGTTTAACTGGTGTTAAATACCACCTATACATCATTTTCATAACATTTTATTTAAGCGTACTGCATGCTGTGAAGTTAAAACCTTTTGCACAGGGGCCATGCTAATCTTCTCTGTACCGTTCCAATTTTAGTATATATGCTGCCGAAGCAAGCCATCAATTTGTTTGGGCGGGATCAGAAGGCATTGTACACCCCCCCAAAAATGCCCCACCTACAAAGGATGGGTGCAATAATGTTTGAAAGTGGCATCTCTGGCAGAATCAGGAGTTTCAAGCAGTCTTCTCAGGGCTCTCTAACAATTTTAGAAACGTTTGTATGACAATCTATTCATCAGCTGCGGATTTCAGTCAATTGAAAGGCATTGCCAATTATCCAAGAGATTTCTCAATTTAGCATAGTGGCTCTAATATATCTGCAGGTAATAGACATAGGTCCAGTGGAATGAATACAGGCATCTGAAAGAGAAGGACTTTAATGATTTGGTGAGGCAGATTCAATTGCAGCAATGTTTTTATTGCCTTTACTTTACCAAGCCTGTAATCTTTTGTATTTTAAAGTGTATTGTATTCAATTCTATTGTACACCAATTTGGTAACTTTTGGTTGTGAAGCAGTTTATAAATCTGCAAGTAAAAAAACAAGTAAAATAAACTTCCCAACCTTCCCTGTATTGGATATTAGCACACCCTCATCCTTAATATTATTGTGTGTCCAGATCAGGTCTTCACAACTGGTGACCCACAAAGCCAAAGATAGCCCACTGGCCGTGTGTGACAGCCCCTCAAAATAAAATCCCTGCTTTTGCTGCTGCCTAAGATGGCACACTGGTGGTGCTGTGGGTTAAACCACAGAGCCTAGGACTTGCCGATCAGAAGGTCGGCGGTTTGAATCCCCGTGACGGGGTGCGCTCCCATTGCTCGGTCCCTGCTGCTGCCAACCTAGCAGTTCAAAAGCACGTCAACGTGCAAGTAGATAAATAGGTACCGCTCCGGCAGGAAGGTAAACGGTATTTCTGTGAGCTGCTCTGGTTCGCCAGAAGCAGCTTAGTCATGCTGGCCACATGACCCGGAAGCTGTACACGAGATGAGCACCACAACCCCAGAGTCGGTCACGACTGGACCTAATGTTCAGGGGTCCCTTTACCTTAAGATGGCAAAAAGTCAGCATGGAGATGGCAAAAGCGCTCGGCAGACCACCATAAACAGCTAGTTGTAGCTTGTACATACCTTGGTTAGTTGGTTGATTTATTCATTTGTTTGTTAAGACAGGAGTCAGCAAACTTTTTCAGCAGGGGACCAGTCCACTGCCCCTCAGACCTTGTGCGGGGCCAGACTATATTTGGTGGGGGGATGAATGAATTCCTATGCCCCACAAATAGCCCAGAGATGCATTTTAAATAAAAGCACACATTCTACTCATATAAAAACACACTGATTCCTAGACCGTCCGCAGACCAGATTTAGAAGGCGATTGGGCCAGATCCGGTCCCCGGGCCTTAGTTTGCCTACCCATGGTTAAGAACAAAAAAAGAAATTGGCTGCCTGGAGATGTCTGATTAAAATCCACTGAAGCTGAATTAAAAATTAATCTGTAGGGAAACTGGAGTGCGAAAACTTGTACCCTACAAGCCACATATCTGATTGAGGTCATTTGTCCCAGTCCAGTGAGAGAGGTGTCTCTGCAGAAGAGGGCTACGTGAATATGGTTGAGAAACTGTGGCTACAAGTTGGGGTTGTGTGGTTCTATCACAGTACTGTTCCAAGCCCTATGGAAACCTCTTTAATTATGGCAACAACGTCTCATTCAGAGCTTCTAAGTGTTGCACACAACTGGCTGATCAGAACTAGAGTGGACTAGAACCAAGACATCTAAAATTGACCTTTACTCAGTATATGGCTTATTAAACCGCTTTTGTATGCTTTAGTAAAAGCTCTCCAATGAATTATGAGACTGAAGTGAACCTTGGAAAAGGATTTTTCAGTTTAATAGAATGTTATAGGAGACCTTTTGTGAATTCAATAGTCAAAGCAAGAATGTTGGTTGATAGATATTGGAAATCTTGTGAGGTTCCTTCTTTACCAGAGGTGCAAATTTAAGAACGTAAGCATTGCCTCGCTGGATCCGGCCGATGGCCCATCTAGTCCAGCAACTTGTTCTCGAATTGGCCAACCTGTGGGGGAACCCACAAACAGGATTTGAGCACAAGAGTCTTCTCCCCTCCTGTGGCTTCCAGCTACTGGTATTAAGAAGGATAGGCCTGGTCATGCGGAAATCATATCATCAGTGTTAATTGATGATTAAAGGTACAGTGGTACCTCGGGTTAAGAACTTAATTCGTTCTGGAGGTCCGTTCTTAACCTGAAACTGTTCTTAACCTGAGGTACCACTTTAGCTAACGGGGCCTCCCGCTGCTGTCGCCCCGCCAGAGCACGATTTCTGTTCTTATCCTGAAGCAAAGTTCTTAACCCAAGGTACTATTTCTGGGTTAGCGGAGTCTGTAACCTGAAGCATATGTAACCTGAAGCGTCTGTAACCCAAGGTACCACTGTATTGTATTGGTCATGGTCCACAACCACCAAGGAGGACTGCCCCCCTACTGTCCTCATAGGTTGTCAGGATGCTGTCAGACAAGGAAAAGCTTCTTGCTGTCCTTTTTTATTTCAAACTTTACAGAGAGAGGCTATAGAACCCAGCCTCTTGGATAATGGCGTTGTCCTGAGAGAATCTCCACACACACACACACACACCACTCTCCCACTTCCTCATTCATCATCCTCTTCACCTCCTCTATGGGTGCTGCTACGTGCCCTCTGTCTTTGAGCTCTTTGCTCTCCTACTTTTAAGGCTCGCTGGGTTCTGGGAGGTGGAGGGTCTGGAATGATTTCTAATGACAACGTGTCAGCCTGGTGTTGCTCTGGCTCTCCCATGATTTATTCCCAACTTTCCCCCTCATCTGCCTCTGAGCTGCCACCTCCCTCAAACCCCTGTTGCAAATCTATACGGTCTTCCTCTTCCTCTTCCCTGGAAGGGTCAGGATGGGGAGGTGGTCTCCACCATTCCTCCTCTGCCCAGTCCCTGACATAGGCTCACTAAAGGTGCAGAGTGGTAGAAAAGTCTGAGTCTTCCAATGGAGTATCCGATGGTCTCAAGCCTACTGTGCATGAATTAGATCAGGCATAGGCAAACTCGGCCCGCCAGATGTTTTGGGACTACAACTCCCATCATCCCTAGCTAACAGCACCAGTGGTCAGGGATGATGGGAGTTGTAGTCCCAAAACATCTGGAGGACCGAGTTTGCCGATGCCTGAATTAGATCTTGTCCACTTCTCCTTGAGTGGTTTACTGCTGGGGATATCCCAGCATGCAGCAGACACGAGGCCCAAAGGTCTCTAGATAATGGTGCTCATTGATGGTGTCATCAGTGGTCTCTGGCTTAGCTCTGGACCTAGACTAACCCAACAGAGATTTGAGTGAATCCTCTCCAAATTTTGCAGTTAGTTATGTACAGCTACACCCCAATATATTCACTAAATTATGGGTTTCTCCAAAATTTGGGGCTAATGGGCCTACTTAAAATGTTTTGGGTTTTTTTTCTTGCTCCACAAGTACAGCTATGAAAGTCTTCGCTCTGCTATTAATGGCAGTTTGATCCAATAACTGAATGTGATACTGGAAGAAGATCCTGATGAAACAGAATATTTCAAAAGCTCTGCTTGAAGGAGGGGAGCAGGGATGCTGCGCCATAAATCTAGTATCAATCACAAGAATGTATTTCCAACAATATCAAGTTCCTGAAGGTTTCTGTGACCTCAAATTCCGCTGGGCATGAACCTTAACTCTGAATATTTCTAGGGCAGGTGAACTATGCTGCCCCTTCAAATCTCATAAAACAGAGCACAGCCTTGGAAGCGCAAAAGGATTTAAGTTTTGCTAAACACAGGTTTAGATTTCAGTCTTTCCCTGCAGAGAAACAGATACAGCTGTATTGATTTGGCCCAATTTCTAACCATGTTGCATTATTTGAAAACTGAAATAATGGACTACAGTGGGACATGTTCTTCCTTTATTTAGTAAAGGCTTGTTCCCATCATGTTTCAGAGTTCATGTTTAAATAGTCTCTGATGTGCTGAGTTCATGAGTAAGAAAAGCCAGGAGACCTGTGTAGGCACACTTTCAGAGTACAAATGATTATGTAGAGGAGGACAGTATTTTCTTTTCCCCCTTTCCTCCATACATTCAGGTCCTGATTTGCACAGCAACCAATACAAATACATCTGAAAATGCATTCTACACACGGTCCATATCCTTGCAAAAACTGAGGAGGATTGTGTGTAGAAAAGGATCATGGATGTGGTCAGGATATGTAGGAAAGAACATTAGGGCCTATCCTGGCTCCATTCTCCTTGCATTAATTTGCATACATAATGAATGGGTGCCCTGGTTTTATGCAGGGGTTGCCAACCTGTGGGGGCCCAGTGGGCACATTTTAAATTTCGAGAAATTGGGGGTGGATGCCAGTCACAAAATGACTGCTTTGGGAGAGTGGCACAAAATGGCTGCCACATCTTAGAAAAAGCAGAAATGGACACCGGACCACAAAATGGTGCAGGCATGCCCACCCCCAATCAGTCCCAGGTAGCGTTATTTGAGTGTTATTTAGCTGTTAATCCGTTTTCTTCTTAAACCAGAGTAGACCACACCTGCACATATATTTGGAGCAACTTCTGCCTTTCCTCTTCATACCAGTAAGCATTCCCTTTTGTGTTTGTTGCTGCCTTCTAATTTCCATTACGTGCCAACGGTGCATGCATGCAGATAGCCAAGTGCATTTCTTAAAAAATAAAATAAAATTGGACTCACCCAAGAAGCCTGAAAAAGCACACAAACGGGCCGTGGTAGATTTGCTTGTGCAGGTTTTTTTGTTTTTGTTGGGTTTTTTGTGAAAATCTGAGGGATCAAAAGAAACACACACACACACACACACACACACATCTATACATGGTTGAACTTAAGACCCATCCTTACTAGCATGCTGGATTGGAAATGAAAGCAGTTGTAAATTCTCAGCAAACACCTTTCAGATTCTAGTGTTGAAATTTCTAATGTGGTTTGCTTGTGCAGTTTTGAGAGCCAGTGTGGTGTGGTGGTTAAA